ATGGTGGGTGGATGGACAGATGGATGGTGGATGAATGAATAGATGGAGGTAGGTGGATGGACAGATGGATGATGGATGGATGGGAGCCCCACTGCTATCCAAAGACTGAGTGGCTTCATGAGGCTGGTGAATGGCGTAAGGAGCAGAAACTTGGGCCAGGAGGACTTTGGGGATCCCCCACCCCAGCATGTCATGCTGGCCTCTTGCATCTTCCTGCCGCCCAACTGCATCTTAACTCCATTTGCCCAGCAAAATAGCATCAAAGAGCCACACCACTCACTTCCATGAACCCACCCCAGTGCCTCCCCCGCACCCCACCCTACAGCTCACTGCGGAGCCCAGATTGATTTCCACAAGGGTCACTTCACCCCACTGCAAAATATTACAGGGAAATTCATTTTCTTTTTAGGACTGTTCTGGGAAATGAAGCAATTAGCATGATCTTAAACCGACACATACTATCAATTGCAATTCAATTACGGGGCTTAAATCTGTGGGAATGGGGCCGGTGGCCGGAAAGGTGGTAGAGAGTGTGGGGCCTGTGGGTCTCGGTCCTGGCGAGCAGTGGCAGATGGGTGGGTGCTGGGTGGGCCTGGGCCCTTTTCTGGGGTCCAAGTCGTCATGGCCCTCCCTAGGTGAGGCCACCAGCTTCAGAGGCCAAGCTTAGGTTCCACCCTAAGGTCAAGATATCAAGGTCACAAGTCAAACGCTACAGGCTCACCCAAGTCTCAGGCAGAGTGGCCCCACCTCCACACAGACTTCCAGATTCCCGCCTCAATCCCGCCAGAGGCTGGGCACTGACAGGCCACACACCAACCCTGACCTTGGCCGCCGAGCACACGCAGAGGCCTGACACACCTCTTCTCACAGGAGGCTGGCCTGGGTGCACTTGGACTCAGGGACTCGTGGGGGCCTTTGTAAGGCGCTCAGTCTCCCACACTGTGTGGGGGGCACCCTCACCTCACAGGCAGGGTAGACGAAAAAACCAAGTCACCAAGAGGCTTAGGGACTCTCCCAAGGGTGCACAGCTGGTAAATGTTGGAGCCGGCACACCCGAGTTTGGGCTGACCTGACCCAGGCCACCACCTCCCAGACCCCAGCAATCTGGGTCACCCCTGTGACTCAGAGCTGGTCCTCGCTCCCATGAAGCTCAGCGCTGCGGCACTTCCCATGGGCGGGCGTGGTGCTGCCCACGGCCCTGCACGGCCTACAGGGACACAGCCTTGGCCAAGGAGAGGGCAGCGGGGGTGTCCTGGGCAGGGGACATAAGCCCAGTGCCCATGGGGCCCGAGACCCTCAGGCTCCTGCTGGGGTCGGGGTGTCAGCTGCTCTTGTTTCTGTAAGCCTGTGTGGCCTGGCCCCGGCGTGAACACATGGCTGCTGTCTGGCGTGGTCCGTCTGGAGCAGCAGTGATGCAATAGCCTGAGGCTGCCTGGACGGAGCAGTGTTCTGGGCAGGCGCGCGTCCTGGGCTTTGGGGAAGGCCCCCTTGGAGATGCAGTGGCCAAGGTGACTTCCCCACTGGCTGCACACACACTGGCGCCCTGGCTGCCAACCGGCTGTACAAACTGCCTTCTCCCCCCAGGCAGGATGGTTCTGCAGCCGTCGGGACACTGTTGTGGCCGAGGACGGCTGCCGGGAACCTCCACCAGCCTGGCCATCTCAGGCTGGGGCCCCACCCAGGTCCTGGCCGTCCCCCCAACCACACCAGCCATACCTGCCAGGACCACACACAGGGCTCTGTCCAGAGTGGGACAGAGCTGGCGGGGCCCCGACCGGGGGCTGAGATGCTCAGAGCGCTCGCTGCATGGGGAAGCAGCAGCCCAGAGGAGGGGGCCTCACGCAGGGTGACCACACAAGGCAGCTCCACGAAGAGCGCCAGCACCGCAGCGTCCAGATGCTCAGCACCAGGGCTGCGCACTGTGCGGTTCTCATCACTGACTGGAGGTCAGTGTGACCTTTCACGTGGACACCCCTTTCATTTCCGGCCTCTCTCTTTTTGAAAAAACCTGACAGTCAGACCACTGACCCTCACCCACCTCTCAGCACAAGGCTCAGCTGACACGGCAGGAGCTGGGCCAGCCCCCTTTCCTCAGCAGACCATCCACCCTCAGATCCGTGACCTCTCTGATGAATCAGTATCATTCGTCCTGAACAAAAACTTGGGCTGGGCTCCTGGAAACAGCAACACTTAAAAAAACCCTCCCCCTTGTTTTTCGGAAAATGCTTTCTGCAGAGAACGCTTTCCCATGTGACGACACGCGACTTATTCACGCAGGACAAAGCCAGACACAGACCCCTGGGTCCCACTCCGTGCCTCACACACGCTGAGCGTAACTGCTTATTCCCCGGCCAGCCAGCTGGCACAAAAAGCCGGAAACCCACATGGGAGTTCGGCTTCTTTCCTCCGCTGGCCTCTGCGCCGCTGTGGAAGGGCAGGGAGGCCGTGCCCTCGGACAGGTCTCTGCACAGCTGTGCCTGTTTCATTCAATGGGTGCTGGGACTTGCGGCAGCTGGAGGTGGCGTTTGCAGAACAGACATGGCACTGAAGAGCTGGCTGCGACCCCGTAACTACAGAACTGGGCAGGCGCAGGGGGCTGGGACCTGGAGCTGGGCCTGGGGCCTGAGGGAGGGGACACAGACAGGGAGCCTCAGCATTAGAGAGCAGCACAGAGTGGGGGCATCTGGGCACAGGCCACTGGCATGGACAGTGTCCCTCCAGTCACTCTGGATGCTGGGGCCTGGGTAGGTAGGCCTCATCCTAACAGAGGACACCAAGGGCATCCTCTTGGATGGAACGACTCCCCGGCACACCTGGGAGATACACCAGAGGGCTGGTCCCACTAGGATCATGGGTAGGACGCACGTTCCAGGCAGAAGTCAGTCCTCAGTCCTGGGCTGTGAGCTCAAGGCCAGGCTGGTCACGGGCCTGAAGGCAGGGCACCTGCACTGAGGGCCGAGGCCCTGGGGCTGACCTGGGCTGGAGCCCTCCGGGGCATCAAGCAGCCCCAGCTGCAGAGCACGAGGGCGGAGGCACCGTGCGTGGGCCCCACAGAGCGGCAAGCAAGTGTGAGGGGGAGACCAAAAAACACCTCAACTTAGCAAACGTTTAAATCATGCAATTATTTTCCTGCTTGCTTCTAAAACTAGAACTCATTAAAAGCTCTCACAGAATCCTCTTTCTCTTCTGTCACTGGCTCTGCAGAATAACAACCTTGCACGGGACATAATAAAACCTGTGTGTCTGTGTGTGTGTGTGTGTGTGTGTGTGTGTGTGTGTGTGTTCGCTCCCTCCTCGTTTAACAACAAAAAGAAAATACCACTGCATTTTCTCTATCACACAATCTCTTCTTATAATTAGGATCTTGGCAGCCATCCACCTATAAAGACGACGACGGTTCCAGTTAATGGAACAGCAAACTTCATGTGCTGATTTATTCAGTATTTATAGTTAGATATCAGCCACAGCAGCAACCCCCCTTGCAGTCCACTGCACAATGCCAGCTCGGGAGGCCCGGCCCGAGGCGCTCTGCTCAGCCTGGAGGCCTTTCCTGGCCCCCTTCACATCCCCAGCCTCTTCCCTCCTAGGCCTTCCAGGTAGCCATGGCAACGGAGCAGCTGGTGCACTCTGAGCTCTGCACCTGGGTCAGGTGACACTCCGGCTCTGGAGGGGAGCAGGGAGTGCCAGCCCTCCCAGGTGAGATCAGGTGAGATGGGCTTCGCAGGAAAGGCCCAGCACAGACACAGCCGTTGGGGCCGGTGGGCAGACTTGGCTGGCAGTGGACAGGCGACTCTGGTTCCGGCTTCAACGGCCAGACCACTGCCTGGCAAGCCTGCTATGTAGTGGAAGTGGCTAGGGGCACGTGCCATCTCATCCGACCTCTCCTACCCCAGGGAAACAGGGCACTGCCCTGCCCTCCAGACAGGAAGAACCAGACTCAGCCAGGGTGAAGTCACTGCCGCGGGGACCAGGGCTGGCTCTGCCACAACCTGGTGGGGCGACCTCGCTGACCTGCACCCTTCTCATCTGGAAAAGGGCTAACCAAGGGGCAGCTGTCAGAACACAGCTAAGACAGCCACCCACACACTCACCCCCCCACGCGGTACCGGCTTGCACACACCTATCAGGACACCACATGCCTTCGGCAGTGGTGTGGCTACGGACATGTTTGGCAGAATGTACTACACACGTATGAACTTCAGAAGGTAAAGAACAAGGAACCTCCGCCCTGCAGCGGGACCTGACGGGTCACACCGCCACCTGCTGGCAGCACTACCAAATTGCAGGTTCAGCTCTCCTGGCGTTCAGTCAAAACATCCAGGCCCGGAAGCCCCTGGTCAGAACCAAACAGCCTCCTGGAGACCTAAGCATGCAGAGAAGGCAGTGCTCGCAGGGACTGAGACGTGCCTCCCCAGCACAGGCCCTGGGCTTCAGCACAGGCTGGGCCCTGCTGGGAAAACCTAGGGAGGTGGGGATAAGACACAGGGTGAACTCTGATGGGCTCCCGAACTCCAATTGCTCCACCACGCAGCCCAGAGCCAAGAAAAGGCTGTCATCACAGGCAAGGCCCTGGGATCCCAGCTCTGGCCCCTCAGACTCAGGCAGGATATGGCCTCAGTCTGCTGACCACAGAGCAAGTGGCCCAGCGCTATTTTTGGAGAGCCGAGTCACCACACCGGGGAACCCAAGGACACGCGCACACGTGCACACCCCCCCCACCCCGGGCCCTCACCTCAATCTGCAGAATGGCCTCCTCACGCAGCCGGATGGCCTCCAGGTCCTCCTCAGTGATCTCCGGAAGCAGCGCCTGCTCCTGGCCCTGCCACACGCTGTCGTCCCCATTAAAGATCTTCTCATCCTCAGCCAGCTCGGCAAAAGGGGCCCGGGGACTCTGCTGATGACAGAGAAGGACCGCTTACCACCAAGTCTTCTTCCCAGGCGAGCAGCCGGCGGCTCCACCTCGGCTGAGCCTCGCTCACAGGCACCAGGAGCCCCCAGAAGGCTGTGCTCCCCTCCCCGAACCCCAACAGGCTCCTGGTGAGGAGAACGGAGGCCACAGCCTGGGCTCTGCAGCCATGTGGGGCGGTGGGCCCGGGGCCTCTACCTCGTTGCTCAGGGGAACGTCCCCCCAGGGTCACGGGGTGCTGAGGCTGCTGTAAATGGTTGGCAGTGATCAGGGGCAGGCAGACGCTGGGCACCTGCCATTCTGCCCACATGCCTGCCTTTGGCCATCCCAAGCCTGATGGTGGGGGGTACTTGGCAGGACCCCACAACCCAGCCTGAGCCAGGGCCACACAGAAGATCCCGCAGAGCACAGTCTCGTGTTCCCAGCTCTCGGGAGTTGTGACTCCAAGGGACTTCAGGGGCCCACTTGGCTGCGGTGGCCCTGCAGACCCCATCTCACGGGCGGCAGCTACGGGACCATGATTGTCTTCCTGGAGGACCCTACTCCCTGCAGGCCCCGCCACAGGCCTTCCAGGAGGAGAACACAATCTGAAGTCTCAAGTTCTTCCCAGCACACTTTCAGGGGTCATGATGGCCCACCCTATGCCAGGCCTGGGGATAGAGCAGACGGACGGCGAGAGCCCAGTGCACAGACATACTTGGCTAGGAACAGAAACCAAGAAATCGCACCAATGAGAACGCCAGCACATCCCCGAGGGACCTGCCTGCAGGAGGCCCTGGTGGCGATGGCACCAGCACTGCCGGCTGCTGAGGGACAGGGCGTGCCACCAGCAGCGTTCTCCCTGTGCTCACGCCCGCAGGTGGGCACGCCCACTCTCAGTTAGAGGGTGACTGCGGATCCCGCAGGTAGAATGAAGCCACGCTACCCAGCTCTCCTTCCCAAGCTGACACTCCCCTACATACACGCTACCGTGGCGGGGCCTCTTCCCCCGGAGTCAGCAGAGGCCTTTAAATAAATAAATACATGGGTAGATGAATATAAAATTAAAGATCTAAAAAATCTGTTGATAAGAGCTACTCGGCCAAGGCAGCAATTATCACCTCCTTCCGGGTGTGGGCGGGAGGAAGTGAGCAGTGCATATGGGGGAGCGGGAGGGAGGCTGGCCCGGCGACAGGCCAATTCTGCAGCTCCCAGCCCCCCTCCCCACAAAGCTGCAGCCCAGCACTGGCCTACTAAGGCCTGGACAAGTCCCTCACACCCTCAGGGCCTCAGGGTGCTCACCTGTAGAGTGGGAACAGTGACCCCCCCCCACCTGGAGGCCAAGGGTACAGGCCATCGTGTCCACATGTGGTGGGTGGCTCGGCCCTGAGTGCCCTCCCCGCCACAGGTAGCAGATGCCTGCCTTCCCCAGGCGGCTCATGACAAGAGACAGGGCAGGAAGAAATGGCTTAGCTGCCTGATCCGCCGCAGCCCTCTGAAAGGATCAGAAAGCACCCCTTTATTCTCTCCACAAAGGCTCAATTTGGGTCTTTAGCTCCGAAGCTGGGATTAGGGATTTGCTGGCAAGGCGCTGGGGTCGGTGTGGAGGGGCCGTGTGTGATGGTTTTCCAGCCCGAGAGGCATCAACAAAGGCGGCTTTCTCCTCCCTCCAAGGCCAAGGGTTTGGGTCCCATTCTGACACGTACAGGAGAAACCCACAGCCCAACAGGAGAGCGGGGCTGAGCGGTTTCCCGTGAGAAAGACGAGGCCCTGAGGGGTTCTCCAGGGGGCCAGGGAGGCGCAAGGCGGGACCCCAGGGTCCTCAGGGGCTCTGGGAAACAGGCCACTTTCTCGCATGCTCCAACCCTGGGCTCCACGTGGGAACATCCACGACCCCCGTGGGAGGGCAGGGCTCAGGGCGCGAGCTTGGGAAACAGCTTCTGTTTATCAGTCGAGGCTGGTCACCGATTTCTCCAAATAGCAATGACTACTCGTTAGCTGACAGAAGTTTCTGGAGACTTGTCAAAGCCCAGACCGTCGGAAGTGGCAAGACTGTAGCCGTCCTCCCCCAGCCCCCACATGAAAGGAAGTGGGGCGCAGAGGCGAGGGGCAACCTCCACCTATGCCCAGGAAACTTCCAGCTGGCCAGGGAGGCGAAGTGCATCTTCACCACTGCGGAAGCACACGGCAGGAGCCGGCCCAGATGCGCCCCTGTGCTGCCCACTGGCTGGGCCTGACCCAGCTCTGAGACTGACCCGGGACCTGGCGGAGGCTGTGGCCAACCTCGGCCTCAGCGGCCCACTCCGGACAGGCTGGCCTGCTCACAGCGACCCAGAGCAGGCTCCGAAGAGAGAGGCGGACGGTGGCACCTGCATCTGGGGTACCAACGCAGTAAAAGTCCCTGTGTTGAACAGGATGGAGTGGGATCTCATAACCTACAGCTTACAAAACTCCTGAAAATAACCTATTTGTCATTATTACTCAGAAGCACTTTGGACCAGTCTCCTCCTTCAAAAAAACAATCCTACTGCAAAATAACACGTTTACAGTTCAACGCACAAATCACAAGTGAATGGGTCCATGAGTTCTTACAAAGGAAACACTTCCGGGTCAAGACACCCGACACTCCAAGACCCTAGTCATTACGCTGTCTGGCTTCTCACACCACGAGTCAGCAGCGGCCTGGTTTTGACCTCTGCCTTCTCTGGTTTCAGGCTCTCTGGCCCAACAGCATGTCCGTGACAGCACTGGCGGGCCCTCCCAGCAACACTTCATTCTTTGTACAGCCTTCCACTGTGTGAGTTCAGCACAAATGATTTATGCATTCCACACAGACTGGCTCTCTTCCCAGGCTTTTGCTTCTGTGTGTCGGGTTGCTGTGAGCACTCTCCTACGTGACTTCTGGCGAAGAAGTAAGGGCATTTCCACTGGGTACGTGCTTGGTCACAGGCAAGGAAAGGCTTAACTAGCAGACGCTTCCAGCAGGGTTCCAGACTGGCGGTCCCCAGTCCCACTCCCATCAACAGCACGACATTTCCAGCTGCCCCTCCCTTGCCAACATAGTACTTCCCCATCTTGGTCACTCTGGTGGGAGAGAGGGGGTGCAGGGGCGCAGCACCACGGGTTCACCTTGCTGCTTCTGATGACACATGTGAGAGCACTTCTGTGTGCTGACTGGTCCCCTTCTGCCATGCACTCGCCTATGGCTTTTAGCCTTTTTTGTTTTTGCAGTAGTCTGCCTTTTTTGTTGCTTTGTAAGAGCTCTTTATATGTTATGGCTGTGAGGCCTTTTCAGGTTATGTGTTGTGCGAACATCTTTGCTCACTCTGTGGGTTGACTCTTCACACTCTTAAGGGTGTATTGATTTTAACAAAGTCACGTTTGTCGATCTCTCTCTTCATAGTTAGGACTTTCTCATCTGTGAGAGAACCGCTGGCTTACCATAAAGATGTGGCGGCCACATTCTTTCAGAGCTTCGAAGGCATCTTTCCATCGCCTCCCGGCTTCCATTGTTTCATTCAAGCAGTTGGGTGTACGTCTTCTTGCTCCTTGTAAAATAACACGACTTTTTTTCTCAGCGTTCAATCAGCTTTCAAGATATGATTTTTGTCTCTGGTATTCAGAATTTTGTTACGATGTAACTATGGGTGGCATTTTTTTTTTATCATAGAGCTATTTTACTCTGTGACTTGAAATATGTGGGCAGTTTTGGAAAATTCTCAACCATTACCTCTTTAAATGTTGTTTCTGTTCATTCTCTCTCCATCCATTCATCTGTGACTCCAATTATACTCTTTTCTAGGTCTTCTATCAGTTTCTATTCTCCGGAGGGTTAGTCTGATTCGAGTTAGTTCTGCACAGCAAGTGGAACTGTCAACAACCGTTACTGTGTATCAAGCCCATGCCAGAAGCCGTAGGTCAAATGCCAATTCTGTAAAAGGTCATTTGTCAAGGCAGACCCTTCAGACAGAGGCCCCTGCCCTCAGCCCCTCCTGCTCTTCCCTGGAGTCCCCACAGCCCTGGATTCTGCTGTCCCCTAATGCCCACCGGCCACGCGAACGCTTGACACCCACCTGCTGTCTGCCACCCCTCTGCACCGTGGGAAGCAGAGCTCTGGACTTCTCTGCAATTTTCTGTTGGAAAAAGGAGGGAGATGGGAAGAACACAAAAGGCGGGAGGAGAGGAGAAACGGTCAGGCAGACATAAGTGCTGGACAGCAGCCAACAACAAAGCACAGCCTCGGCTCCGAGAGAACGCAGCATCCAGGGAGCGTGGCTGGGCTCTGCCGACCTGCTGGACGGCACCCCCCACCACCATCACGCAGGCACCTAGACCCTCTGCGTCTGCTTCCTCACTTATCAGAAGGGGTGACACCTGTCCCCTGCCCCGCCCCCACGAGGCTGCTGCACAGATGCCTCCTGGGCAGTGTCCTTCGCTGCACATGCCCTGCGGTCACACCAGCTGGATCCTGGTGACTGTGGAATGTCCCCAAGCCTGGCCCTTCCTCTGCTTTGGGGGATGGGACCATACCAGGCCACCCCAAGGACGACACAGCCAGAGTGGGCGCTCAAGAGGGCGAGGCCGCCCCACCTGGTGGCACCCTCCACCTGCCCATGCCTCACCTTCTGCACGGCTCCGTAGCGCTGGATGGCATCGGAGAGCTGAGTTCTCAGGCGGTCCAGCTGAAGGCGCTCCTGCTACAAAGAGAGTGTGACTTCAGTGGTGGCCGAGGCCTTGGCTGCCTCCCACAGCCCCTGCATTCTTGGGGTGTTCTGGCTCCCCACACTCCTTGTGCCCTCCTGGCAGTACCTGCAGCAGACACCCTTCTCCACCCATTCCCAGCCTCACCGCCATCACCACGCCCTCCGCCGTCAGAACCAGGCTTATCCCATCACCTTCATCACCCCAGTGCCAATGGCTCTACCCCTCAAGCGCCAGCACAGCATGAGCCCCACAGACACAGCCCACATCGGCACCATACCCCACACAGCCTTCGGCACGGACCATGGAGCCAGCATATGCCCGTCTGGTCTCCAAAACAACCCACTCAGAACGACCCCCGTCCAACAGCTCAGGAGACCGCAGCCAATTTAGGGCCACATGGGTGGTGGCGCCAGGGCCCACAGACCTCAGCACAGTCCAGGCTGCTTCTCACCACCAGCGCCAGGGCTGCAGCCATGAAACCACCTCTCCCATCACCAAATTCTCAGCCCTCATGCACGGCCTCCATGCCCTCGCTGGACTGCGCCTTGTCTGTCCTGACCCCACAACTCAGTGCCCAGACACTGCCTGGCACAGAGCTGGTGCTCCAGGCACACTGCCAAAGGCGACAACATGCAAGCCACCCCTGGACCCTGGCACTGCCCACTCCGGTTGGCTGTGAGAACCGCCAGGCCACTGGGAGCCCCAGCCTTCATCTCTCGCCAGGCAGCTCCGGCACAGATAAAGCCAGGCAGCCCCAGAGTCCTGGGACCAGGACACAGATGTGGGGTGCTGCTCCCCTCTGCACCTGGCACCTCTCACATCTCCCCAGGGGGCCCTGGTCATTCCCCAGACCATGTCTCAAGTCACAGATTAAGCCCAGCCGGGGGGGGGGGGCCTTTCTTATAGTTCCAACCTGAACTCGGCCCCACGCACTGCCATGTGAGCCCACAGGTGACAACGGGCTGCAGGTGCGCCAGCACAATGGTCCCATTTCAGGGAGACCAGCTCCCAGGGGACGCCTTTCCGAAGCACCCTGTCTGGGCCTAACGGTCCCGTGTGGCTGAGGCCCTGTGGAGCCAGTCTCAGAGTCCAGCCAGAGCCCGCCCGCCCGCCCCACTCCACCCTCCTGGGAAACGTACCCGGGAGCAGCCCTGCAGGAGCTCCGACATCTGCTTCATGGCCCTGGTGCTGGCAGAGATGGTGTGGTTCGTCTCCTGCTGCTCCGTGTGCCTGAGGGGGCAGGGGCGGGAGTGGGGTGTCGCGGAGCCAAAAGCAGGGGGACCCGGAGGGGAGATGGGGAGAGGGGAGAAATGGAGGAAGCAGGGAGAAGCAGAAAGGGGCCAACGCCAAGTGGGCAGGAGAGAGAGACAAGGGCAGAGAGGACAGCCAACAGGAAGGAAAGAGGCAGAGAGGAGCGGCCAGGAGGAAACAGGCGGAAGGCGATCACAGAAGGAGGGGATGGAGAGACCCACCGAGTCCGGCCCGAGGGGACAGGCACAGGGAACGCAGCGGGGAGAGCAGAAAGAATGGGGTGGGTAGGGAAAGGAGAGAGGGACACAGTGACTCCGGTTCTGGGGACGCCCGTGCGGACACACCAGACTCGAGTACCATGGCCAGGAGCCTCGCCGCCCCCATGGCCACCTCTGGCCTGCTGGGTCAGCACCTGCACCACCCCCACCCCCTGAAGAGGCCTCGGCCACAAGCCCTTCCTGTGGAAAGGCCCCAGGGGGAGCTGAGGGTGGGAACCTCACAGAGAACCTAGGCCCACTCGGCCAGCCTCCGCAGGTCTTAGGTGAGACCCCCACCTCCAGACCCAGGAACGCAGGAGGCAGGCCCAGCCACACAGCTTACAGTTTCGTGTGACCGGTATGGTCACTTACAGCTGACCATTGCTCCTGAACTGACACCAGGGGCAATCCCTGCCCTCAGGCCTCCTGCGGGTGCACACACCGGGCAAGGGCCCTGCGGAAACCTGAGAACCCTCCTGACCCTGCAAACTGCAGCCTGATGGCCCCTGCTTTGCTCCGTAACGGCCATAAATAAAATTCTCTGACGCTTCTCCCAGTGGCTGCAAGGAGAAGCTCACGGCTCAAGATCCTGCCCCATGAGCTCAGGGAGGGAGTAGAGTCAGAGCCGCTGGGTGCCTGTGCCATGGCTGGGCTCAAAGAGCCACCGGCCACCGGCCACCGCAGCCCTGGATGAGCCTGGCCCAGCCTCCTGAGCCCCGCTGGCACGGACTCTGACATGCAAACCCGATGCCAAGGAGGGAAAGCCCTGGTCCCTGGGGGTGCCTGGCCCCTGGCTGGCCCTGCGGTGAGCTCCCCGCTCTCTGGAGCACTGCAACGCTGTCCCCTCCTGCTTGAACCTCCATGCTTGGCCTCAGAGCACGTCCTCCCCGGTACTCCTCCCACCTGCCCAGCGGCTCTGCTCAGCCACCTATGGGCTCAGCCCTACACCAACCCCCACCTGAAACTGGCCCTGGTTCCAGCAGCAGAGAAGGCCAAAGAGGGGAGCTCACCACCCCCCGAGCCATACCATGGGCCCTCCCTGTCTCCTGGGAGGTGCTACCAACAGGTGCGCTATGCTTGCGCCACAGAACTCCCTCTGGGCCCAAAACCTGTGCCAGGACCCAGGACCCAGGACCCAGGACCCAGGACCCAGGGCCACACAGCCCACCTGAAAGGGCTCATTCCAACCAGGCAACATTAAACTGCTGACGGGCAGAGAGGGTGAGACACAGGAGAACAGGGAGAGGCAAGGATGGGGTGCGGGAGAAGGGGGGGCCCCGCACAGGGCTGGGGTGGGGCGAGGGCCAAGCTGATACGTGTGTGGGACGAAACTGCAGTGAGCCTGCCCCCTACTTGGGTATCTGCCCTTCGGGTTACCAGGAAGCACCGCTCTCAGCTCCGATGCCGGTATTTCCAGGGCAACAAACGGAGATCCCCACCAGATGAGAAGGAGGCAGGAGTGGTCCCCACCACTGCAGGAACGTGCCGGACGCATGGGCCACTGAGGCGGGATGGGAGCAGCAGACCACTCCCTTGTGAGCCTCGGGGACCTGCCTCCCCCTCCACGCCTCCCCCACCCATCCAGCTCCCGCAGAAGTCTAACCATCCTGGGGACTCAGTCGTGCTGAGACGTGGACAGTGAGGCCCAGGACCGCACCCTGCACGAGCCCCGCACCTGCTGGAGGGGCTGGGACCGCCCGGTGTTGGGGCTGGGAAACCAGCAGACCCAGCGCAGCGGCCCTGTCAGCCTGGAAGGAACCTCCCACCTGCCATGAACGTAGAACCACCAGAGCCCAGGGAGGGCTGACCACGGTCCAGGCCCGGCCGCAGCCGCAGTTCCAGCATCACTGCTTCATCTGGGCACTCAGCCCCTACAGACCCTGGAGCTGGGGCTGCCGGCAGCAGTTAGAAGGCTGAGGACACGGGACCCTGGCCACAGGCAGACTTCCTACTCTGGCCCCTGGACCTAGCCGCATTCATTCAGCTACTATTCTGAGCAGCCCAGCACAGCCCCAGCCGGTGCACCCACCACCAGACAAGTAGGTCCCGCGACCACAGAGCTGCCCCCACAAGGGAGAGAGATCACCACCCACTTAGGCCAAGCTGGGAGCCTGTGATGGGGGCCAGGGCGGGTCCCCTGGAGGTGGCTGACAGAAATGACACAGCCCACACCTGCCTTGTGCAGGATGAGAACAAGCTCAACCTTGAGGTTTTCGCAAAGCTAAATATATTCAATTTGAAGGACTGTCCTCTCTCCTGAGATCAGAGCCCGCCTACTTCTAGAGGCCTGGCCTGTCTTCTTTTATGAAATGATGGCAGTAACCCATGGTGGTATACTTTTGTCTTGTGTCCTTACTTGGCAAAATAAAGCTGGCAACTACCAGTGTGGAGAAAATACAGGGCTGGCAACCCTACATTGGTCTCAAGTCATTTTAAAATGCTAACCGTCCGGGAAGTGCACAAATCCCACCATGGAATGGGGTCATGGAAGGCTCCAGAAGGCTGGTTAGGAACCGCTCTGCAGGGAGCAGGGGCGGTGGGGGTACAGGGAGGTGCTAAGGGAGAGTTTCCAGACCTGAAGGCTGAGGCTGATGGGGGCGGGGCAGGGGAAAGGGACGGGGTCAGGCCCTGTGTGGGGGGAGGTCCAGGAGCTGGGGTCCTTCAGCCAGCCAGGCAAGGCAGCCCAGGAAGCAGGAGAGGGCCAGGGACCTGAAAATGTCACCTGCTTGACCAGAGAGGGACACGCCGCTCCAGGGCCCGACCCCAGAGACAGGCGGCAAGACAAAAATCAGCCCCAACGTCATCCCTGGGAACTCGGCTCCTGACACTGAAAGTGGGAACAGCCGGGAGACCGGGCCCAGGCTCAGCTCAGCAGTGGTGCAGATTTGGCAGCGTCCCTGCGACTGCAAAGCCCATGTTTTCCACGTGTAATGAGGGCAGGCACACCCCACAGTCCTGAGTGCAAAGAGTGGGTCCTGAGTATTATTCACTTATTAATAAATCCAATTCTGTAAAACACGTATGGACTTGAGAAGAGGCTGGGAGGAAATATAAAAATGTTCACAGTGCATGCTCAGACATCCTGTATGTCCCAATTTCTTATGACGAGCATATGTTACTTTCACAATCAGAAAACAATACATGCTATTTTAAAAAGAAATAAAAATTTAAAACTTGGAAGTGCACATAAAATCTGCAAAGGGGCCCTCTGGTGCCTTGAGCTCTGGGCCCCTAGACCTGGCAGTGCTGGTCCCAGCTGGCCTCGGTGAGGGGACAAAGGTGGGG